AATTGTGAGCTCTGTTCTTGTTCTTCTGAGTTTTTCCATATTTAGGTTCTGTTCTATATTTTGACTATTATTAGCTACTCCTTTGGATAGTCTGGAATGCTCACCAATACTATTTTCCATCTCACTTCTTCCACTTGTTCCCTGATGTCTTTCTGGGGTTTGTTTTTCCTGTGAGGGTAAAAATTTTTTAATTGAACTTGTTTGGGAGGTTTTGGGCCCCCCGCCCTTTGACGCTTTATTTTTCATTTAATCAATTTCCATTTTATTTTCCTTCCTGGGAATTGGGGAAGTTGTTCACCCTTTCTTCTAGGGTTTAAGATCTTCCTATGATGTTCTCCTTTAAAGACTTTTTCTTTCTTTCCCCTTTTTCTTTTCCTTCATTTCCCCGTCCCTCTCTTTTCTTCCTCTCTTAAAGGCGTCTACCAGGCTCTCAAATCTTCATGAGTTTTTATCTGTCCGACTCTCGAGGCCCCTTGGGTACGCCCCCCCCACAGCTTTTATATCACAGTTCAATTCAAAATACAGTTTATCAGTCACAGTAGTCACGATAGACAGCAATTGCAGCTTCCACTCACCCTTTTTTCCTCTTTCTTCCTGTACTTTTAATGATGCTGTTTCATATTTTTTCTTCTGAAGACTCCTGCTTCATTAATCCTTCTATGCAGGGGCAGACTGACCATTCAAGCACTCGGGAACTGCCCGAGGGCCCCGGGGTCAGTAGGGGGCCCCATGAAATGCCCCTGGTACCTTTTTATAGGCTCTTTTTGAGTGTTGGCAAGGACACAGGGGCCCCATGATCCCCTATTGCCCAGCAGCCCCATAAGTTGTCAGTCCGCCCCTGCTTCTATGTAATTGATGACTCCCAGTTTAGGGGGGGGGGCTCCCCCAGCTGCTCCCCGTCCAATCCTGTAAAGTTATCCTTTATTTTTACTAGGGATGTGCTCGTCCATCAGGGCTAGAGCCAGCCAGCTGCATGTCACCCTCCCTGCCTTGACCTCTCCAATCTCAGGCAGAAGGAGAGAAAGCCGTATCAGCCGTGGGAGACACCGTGTCCACACTCACAGACGCCGGACGGCTTCTTCGCTTCCCAGTGCTCCCTTGCTGTGTGTCATGTGACCACCCGGCATCCTCCACACTCCAGCGCCTCTCCTCTCACAGCTGTCTCTGCCTCTCGGTTTCCCACTCCATCTCAGCCTGGCCCCCGACCTCTCACAAATGGGCTTTCGGAACTTGCTCTCAGCCAGGTAAGACTCTGCATTCAGCTCGGTCTCCACCACCTCTGCATAGTCTCTTTTCCGGCGGGACAATGGGAAAGTCTGTTACCCGGGAGCTCTCACATTGAGCTCCCGCTCCGTGTCTTAGTCAGACTCCTCCTCCCATGTGTGCTTGGTGTTATCTTTTTAAGAAGTAGGCATTTCCTTTTGTATATTTAAAGTAAATGTATCACTAACCTAAACACTGTAAAAGCAGTACTATGATGAACTTAACTCACACCATGTGGTGCCAGAACAAACCGCCAACTGCTCATAAATATCTCCCTGGATAAAGGATGCATGTTGTATACAAAGGCCAACTTTATTTCAGTCATGAGTTCAAATATTGCTAGCATATCCAAGACTAATGATAAATTGTGGCACAAGAATCTAGATGCAAAGTTGGTGGGGGCTGGTGGAAGGGTAAAGTAAGATGATGCAAGTTATTGAGTGATCACCACACATAGGGCAGCCATTAATATGCTCTACATTTGTTGTTGGTTGACAGCAGTAGGAATGCCAGCAAACAGTTTGACACCTTCGTATATACTTCCATTCTTGATATTAAACTGACACTTATAAGCTGAAAAAATAAAAAAAAAAACTGTGCATTCAAACTGCTTCAACAATATAGAAATGAATGGCCCATTACAAGATAAAATAACAAAACCAGCCTTTGCTGCAATATTCAGCATCAGTCTACAGATTTTGCCTGCATGGCCAGCATTTTTTAACCCACTTCCTCTGAGTCCAGGTTGTGTTGGACCCACCCCTAGCATGTGACTGGACAGTGAAAAGAGAACCAGCACTGTGATGAGCTCATCTCTCTGCCACTCAGCTTTAATCTTCAATCTGTATGCTTCTTTTCAGCACATGCTCAGTGTTTTTTTTTGCACACACATTTTAGTATGTTTTTTGTGCATTTTTAAATTTTGGGTGCTGTTTGTTGTCTTGAGGAAGAAGGCAGCAAAAACTCAGCAGCAACACATTAAACATGCAACTTGCTGCAGGAATAAAAAAAATCTCTGACCCTTTCCAAATAAATGCACTGAAAAAACTGGAAAACAGAGACGTGAACGTGACCCATAGGAAACCATGTTAAAAGGAATGTAGTGTGTTTCTGCGAAACTGAAATTACACTGAACCAGGCCTAAAAAGAATAAAGCTGAAGTTTAACTCCCAAAAAAACACACCTTGTACAATCAGCTGTGAATCCTGCAGAAATCTTCATTGCAGGGATGCCAGTCTCTTTCTGTCTCTGAACATCAGCCTGAAGACCCAAAGCTGTTAACCACTGCTGGTTCAGAAATTCAGAGACAGGAGGAGGACAAGCATCCCTGCAGTGAGGATTACTCCATGATCTAGCTGCATACACAATATGGGACATACTTCATTACAGGTAAGTCATGACTAAAGGTTTGGGTTTTTTTATACACTAAACGCCAGCTTTTGTGAGGTACTAATGATTACAAAGTGGCTCATTGATTAAGTGATTACATTTTGTGAGGCATTAGTCGGATTACAGAGTGATCCATTGATTAAATGATTATATTGTGTTCTTTTATATTTGCCTGGAATTCAGCTACTTACTGTAGAAAGACTATGAAATTTCATTGAAGATTGTAGTATGCTTTTGTGTCTGAAGGTGGCACTGCTAGACTGGGCATCTTAGTCCCGTTTACCCACCAATGGTAAATCAATAGTTAAGAAAAAGGAGGAATTTGGAATTAACCAAAATGCTAAAACAAATTAAAAAAGGTCTTGTCTGAGAAAAAACAAAACAAAAAACCCCCCACAAGTTTGCAGATATTATGTTATCGCTAATGTAGCTGTGTTTGAGTTGTATAGCATCTCAACAGTATCAATTGTAACAAACAAGAAATGTTTAGGTTGTTTCCATTATCATGGAGGGACTGCTGACTCCTGGGATTTTAGACATGTGACAAAGCATGGGAAATATGTATTTATTGTAGAGATATACTGAATTTATTAAATTATTACTGTATCCAGGTATTCTGTTATTAAAGTTTGCAGGATGTTTTTTGACTGTAATGTGAAAGTTAAATTAAGCAGTTCCCTTTTCTGTAACAAGATGTGGATGAGGAGCATGTTGACCTCTCTGAACTGCTATGGAGCACCAAGAATGCTAGGACATATACATACACACACACTGGGTATAGAAAAGAATCCCCCCTTTAAACAATAAAGTGGGGGCGAAATATTTACACAGTCATACTTCCGCTGCTGTCCAGTCATCTGCTCGACCGCTCCTGTCCGATATCCACTAGTGGAAGCATTGCCGCATCTCCCACTGCTTGTCAGCTAGTCCTTGCTGACCAACTACGCTGCTTGAGAAACACAGTGCACCAAACGCACATTAACAGCTCAGCAGCCCAAAAATCACCACAGAAGATCCAAGGGAAGCTTACACCATATCCAGGGTGATCCATTACGCATACGGATAGGCACCGCATTCACTGAGACCCACAATCCTCCCTTTGAGCCACCTAGTGTACCCTTTACACTACACTATCCTGTTCGCCATCTTCATCAAGTTGCCACTGGTGACCCAGCACACCACAGTTATGTCGCCAGCACAATCCTGTCCTTCATTGAGCTGTTATGGTGAGATCAGCATACTCTCTCCGCTGCCACCGTCTGTCAACTTAACTCAAGGAACTGGTGAGAGGATCATTGACCCACTTCAGTGTTATTTTGTTGCAGAAGACATACTTTAAACAAGGTTAATCACGCTATCATCCCCTCCCAATCTGCCTGACTATTCTGTGGTCCTGCATTCTGGATATACAACCACCCAGTCAACTCTCCTGCACCTTAACTCACTGTGCATAATTGACTACTTAAACCGCTATTACTCTGAATGGGGCAATTGACTCTTGTTGAGTGCACCAACACCAGGGCCCCAACGTAGCCGGCAAGCAAATAATATTGAGAACTATACATCTTGTTATCCAGTTTAGTCACTGTATATTGCTTCCATTTGCAAACAGGGGCCTAGGCTTATCCTACCCATAATAGGTACGACTAGGCAATTTTGCCACATTTTTTTTTGCTTCGACCACTCTGCTGCCTGTTTCTTGTATGCTTGTGAGGAAGAAATATATCCTGTTATTCTCTATATGGTCTTGAGTCTAATCTCAGGGTGACCTTCAAATATCACAAAATTTCAAGACCCACATTGACTAAAGGGGTACAACCTGAAGTGTCAGAAGGATTAAGGCCTTTTGCAAAATCGAGGTACTAGCTGAGGACCCAATATCAGCAGCTCCTACAGAGGTAGCGCTACATTATTTTGCCCAAACATACACATTGAATAAAAGTTTTATACAGTTAGTTAAAAAGCATATAAAGCATCAACTTACATTGTACATTTACCCAAAAACCATTATGGCCCATTCACACTTGCCACACCTGCTCTCTGTGCAGTGCAGTGCCATTTATTGTGACTGGCACTCCAATGCATTATACAGGACAGCCCAATTCACAGCACATTACAACACATATGATATGGTTGTCATTGTGGTTTGCTGCGTTGCTAAAAGGGTCCTGTACTTTTTTTTTTCATCTATTGTGTGTTGGCAGCCCATTTTTAATAAATAGGCTACCTCAATGCAATGCACACTATTGTATACCATAACACGTGTTAATGCACAGCTCTTAAATGTGAATGGGTGCTCATAGCTCCTGTTCTAGTGTTTTGGCACTATGCCTCATACAAGTACTCACATTAACAGTTCCACATAGCGAATGTTCTTATTCAGAGCTTCAATATCCTCCATTTCCTGCTCAGTGAGTGAGAAGTCAAAAATCTGTATTTAGAGGGGAAAAAAAAAAGTAAAGTAAGGCCCTGCTACACTACACTGATCGGGGTATCAGTAAAACACATTTGGATTAGTATAATAGACTTTTATCTCCTTGCCCTTCAAATTTGGACTACACACACACAAGTCAGCAATAGATGCTTGGCTATCATGGTTCTATAGGGCAAATCTGAAAAAAAAAAAAAAGGAAGGAGGAGAGTAGGCAGCACATTTATTTATTATAGGCAATTATATAATGCCGTCAATCTATGCAGCATTTTACATGTATTGCACATTTACATTAGACCTTAACCCTCAAGGAGTGTAGCAATCTAAGGTAATGTATAGTGTATCTTTAGTTAGGGCATATTTTGAGTTTGCAGTATTTTCTATGATGGCATCCACATTTTTCTTTACATGCTTTCTCTTTAATACTTTTATCACACGCAGGGTCTGCTATATACCTCCACCTTGCCAAAACGCTGTAAATAAAATTAGAAAGAATACCGGTAAAGAAAAGTTATGTGCACCTCTCCTCCAGCTTCTGTGATGCAGGTCATCATCCTCCAATGAGGTTCCAAGGAATGCTGCATACTCTAAATCTCATGAAAAGATGTTAAAGCACACTTCTGGGAGTGTCTTCAAAGAGAGATTTGGAGAACTCTACATTCCCCATATCTCACCAGAAGGAGGATGAAGTCACACTTGGGTGCTGGGGCAGGGGAATGAAAAATGTATTAAGCAGACTTTGCTTATATAGTGGATGTTCCACGTTAAGAGATTTATAGATTAGTCCCTGGATGCAAAGTAGATTAGCAACAACAATTCTCTGCTCAATGTGTATCCAAACCAAAAAAATGTAATATATTGCTGCTTGCCAGTCCCTTAGATGAGGTGGTTACATTAGTTGTGTTATTTAGGTTTGTTCATCCCTTTCACCTTGCTATCCTGCCATTACCACACTCTGCACTAGGATAATCACTCATCCGCAGTATCTATGGGGACAGCCATGGTTGCCACCCAGGCTGGACTTCAAACATGTCTGCCTTTTTTTTGTCTCCAACTCCTCAAGAAAAGAAAGGCAGAGCAAGTTTCTCCCAGTGCCTACACCAAATAGAATGTTTTGAACACAGACAACAGAAAAAAACCGTGGCAGAGGGAACCCTGGCACTGATACGGGAATAGATACTGCAGCAAAAAGCTGCTATGAGCACTAACCAGCTGGTAAATAATAGAGGCCGCCGGACCTCCGTGATCCGGCAGCGTGACGTCAACGCATACAGGCTCCTCCAAGACGCGTTTCCTACACTCGTACGTCTTCAGAAGGGGTGTGCCACCCCCCTTCTGGTTAGTGCTCATAGCAGCTTTTTGCTGTGGTATCTATTCCTGCCTATTGTTTGTGATATAGCATCTTGGCACATGTCTGGCACATACCAATTACATGTATGAGGATACCCTATTACTACTTTTTATTTCCTTCATTAAATGTTATTTGAAAGTACTACACTATGGGTATTTCCATCTTTTGCTCTGTACTGAGCATTTAATCCCCCAGAGCTCCCCCTGGTGATTATCCCATTGTACTGAAGAGGATGCATCCGTGTCCTTAAAGTGGACCTTCGGTTTGAATATACATCCAGATGATTTTCATCCATCTTGGGCTGATTCCATCTGCATCCTGAAAGGGACCCCCTGGCAGACCTCTATTTATTGACACATTGTGCAATACCTTTGCACGTCCGGTGAGTGCGCATTTTTATACATATCCTGACCTCTCACCGACTCTATGAAAGTGACGACTTTGGGAATATTATAAAATCATCTCTGAGCTCTTTTATTTATTGTGGACTGTCATTTTTTTCATGAGCTAGTTGCTGTACATTTACCAGGACTACATTGTAAGCGCTGCACCTATTTTATCTTATATGTCGATTGAAAGGTTTACGGTTTCCTTTACCGTGCACAGCTGCTTTTATATATTTATATTTTAGCGCTCACTGAGTTCTCTTATCTTTTTTATACAATAAAATATTGTTTCTGTTATCATTAACGGAAAAAAAAAATCAAAACAAAACACTAAAACAGTACAAATATTTAAACATTAACAGCACCCGCAACAAGTAATCTGTTTGCCTTACATAAAATAAATAAATAAAAAAACAGAGCATGACAAAATATGAGCGTGATTATAATTGCGAAACATGGAGGGCAACTGGGGATACGACAGAAACAATCTGTGCAGCACAATAACCGCGCCATGGTGAATGATCAACATAGCCGGGTTGAGAGATTGAGCCTAACAATGAGAGTGACTTAGGAAGAGGAATGAGGAGAGACAGAGAAAGATGATATGGGATAGAGGCGATATATATATATATATATATATATATATATATATGTATATGTATGTGATTTGCTGACCTCTTCCTTGTCCTAATGAACACAGTAAGTAATTGGTACAGATAACTGTATTCATTCATAGCTGAAGCATCGTACACTGCTGCAGAGAAAGGGACTAGGGAACTTATGTCCTCTGTCTCTTTCTCTGTCTCAAAAAGGGAGAAATCAGGGGTCTGTTTAGACCCCTGATATTTCACCAAAGCCTCCCAACAGGGATAAAAAAAATGTTTTTTAAATATTGTAGAGAATAATTTAATAAAATGAAATATTGCAAAAAAAAAAATTAACAAAATGTAGCTTTTTAATGGGAATAAGTGCTAGAACGAGGTGAGCCTGATCACATCACCCGACATATGTCATGTATCTGGCCTCCAGGCTTCAGCCTGCACAATCTGCATTTCATAAATTAAAAAAAATCACTGCACATCCCTACCTGGAAGTTTTCTCTAATCCGATCTGGATTAAAGCTCTTCGGAATGACTACCACACCTCTCTGTATGTTGAATCTTAATGCCACTTGGGCAGCTGACTTGCTGTACTTTTTGCCAATTGCATTCAAGGTAGCATCTTCCAGGAGCGGTGGGGAGGACACGTTCACCCTGCATGGATAAATAAAATGATCTTCACTGCAACATTAATAATTGTACAAAGTAGAAAGTCTGAAAAGAAGAAATTGATGGAGGTAGTGTTTGTTGGCAGAATAGACTAATTTTTTTATTTTGCATACACTAAAATGCTGAGACAATGTACTGTCTGTTCTCATGTAGGGGAGCTACATCATCAGTGATCGCCCAATGACTGAAGAAAAGGGACACCAAACCCAGAAGAAATCCAGGAAAATGGCAGTAGCAAGGAACAGGGTAGCTAAAAAGTGAGGGGGGACCTGCCAGCACTAGAGGAGGGCACACTAACTGGTAAGAATGCCATTATGTTCAAGTATGCTCTGCTTACTTAAATGTTATGGCAAGATCTCCCAAAACACGCAGATGAAATAAAATTGTGCTTTAAAAAAAAAAATACACAACCCACTACATGGCAACTTTAAAGTGTAAGTTCACCTTTGGGAACATATTACAAGTTCCAGGCTGTGTCTGCTGCCTTCCCTGACAATAGAAAAGCTGATTTCCATTAAAGTATTTAAAAAACATATGTATTTTACAGTGCACCTGGGATTCCAAACCTGGAGAGAATAAAGCAAGATTCTATGGAATCCTCCCCAGATTCTAGTCTGGGAGAACTCCATTACGATAATTATTACTGTTAAAGGTGAATTTTAATCTGCTTACATTTTGCCTTACCTAGTTCCTCCTTCCCCCTGCATCAAACAGCTAATAAAAAGTTTAACCGAAACCTTTCTATTCTCATTACATACCTGTATTTGGACCCAGCAATGTCATGACCAGGCTTCTGTGCTTCTCTATGCAATGCAGTCAGATAATGGCTGGTGGGAGGGTCTGGCAGGGTGTTGTATATAGGTTCCTGAAAACATTCACAGCACCCTGCCTCAGTACTCCTCTCAAGAACCCTCAGGCCTGAAGCAAGCAGTGGGTGGGATCTTGGGAGGAGTTATGCAAATATCTTACTAACTGGATTTCAGTTCGGAGGAGTGGGCATTCCTTGGTTGGCTGTTTTTGCAGAGCTGAAATCTAATTATTATACAGGATTTATATAGCGCCAACAATTTGCTCAGCGCTTTACAATATTACGGGAGACAACACAGCAACAATACAGTTCAATACAAGAGGGATAGGAGGGCCTGATCCTGGGAGCTTACAATCTAATGAATTGAAATTAATGAGACAGGGACAGTAAAGGGTGTGGAGGAAAAGGCTAGCTGATGATGGCTCTCCTTCAAAGAGGAAATGACTTACTGCTTCTAATGAACATTGTGAGAAGCTCACAGTGTGCAGTGAAATCAGAGTAAGCAATTTTATTACAGGTGAGGAGTATGAACAACTGTGCAAGCCTGAAGGGAAGAAGAAAGAATATGGAAGAAGAAGAAAGAAGAAGAAGAAAGAAGACGAAAGAAGATGAAAGAAGAAGAGTACATTTTACACAACTCCATACCTGCATAGCATATTGGTGGTTACTACATTAAAAAAAAAAAAAAAAAAACTATTTGGTTAAGGCTGGAGTCCCAATTTCAGGTCTCTAAAGGTGGATAGAGGTGGGCCATTTTTTTTCCTCCCTGACTGTTACATACCACATTGCATCGCGACAAGTTCCTAGAGGACTATAGCCCACGATGACGATCTCATGCTGTCTGCAGAACTCCAATAACTTTGGCTGAGTGAAATAAGGATGACATTCGACCTGTACAAAAGCAGAACAACATGACAATGCTAAAACATACATTCAATAGCACCAGGATGGAAAGGGGAAGGGGCCAGCACCAAGTAGTCATGTTTACAAACTTTTTTTTTTGTCTTGTATGGCCACCTTGTAGATAAGAATGGGAAGATAACTGAAAAACGAAAGGTTTCAAGGGTTACTGTGAAGAGTTGCAAGACTCTCTATAGCTCAAGTAGTATGGTTCCATCTCCTCTTTAACAGCTTTAGATTAATAGGTTTTACAATCCACAACTAATTTAGTAAATATAATTGAGAATCATATCTTACAAGCATGGCCTAGTTTTAGAAGAACACTTAACCCCAAATCTGGAAAGTCTGAAAATTCTTTTGGAGTGGGGATGCGCCCGCACTGCAAGAATGAACTGCTAATTTTTGTCTAGCGGAGAATAAAAGCACTTTTATTTACCCAATCCTCTGCCTTCTGTTCCCTGCAGACTGTGCTCCCCCATACTCCAGTAGTTGACTGTCCCTTGGCATCCTCAAGACACTGAACGGTCAAGTAACTCAGAGTTGCAGAGAACACGGTAGGTAAATCTATTTTTTCATGCCCCGAAGAACTTAATAAGCAGTTAATCCTTGCAGTACAGGCATAGCCCCACAGCAAGGGAGAATTTTCAAGATTACTGGAATTCATCTTTAAAAGACAATAGAATTGCATGGACATTTTCAATAACTGTTGCCAAAGGCAGTATGAACTTTATCTTCAGCCCTGACTGCACAGCTACAGTATATTTTGCCCGTTGTCTCACCCAGCGGTATATTTACCACAAGGCAAACAAGGCATCTGCCTAGGGTGGCATTTTTTAGAAAGAAGGGACATATGCGGCATGGGGACCAGGTGGATTCCGAGAGGGGCTGCTTGATGGTGTATGCAGAACTTGGCTGTCGTTCCTGGGGATGTCCAGAGCTGTGAAGGTGAGCGTCATTTTCTCTGTCACCGGTGGGGGGGGTTTTAGTGGAAGGCTCTCTCGGGTGAGGCTGGGGATGGGGCAGGGGTGTTGTTGGTCACTGTCAGGCTCTCTTGGTGGGGGGGTCTGGTGTTGGTCGGTGTCAGGCTCTCTCTATGGGGGGGGGGGGGGGGGGGTCTGGTGTTGGTCAGTGTCAGGCTCTCTCTGCCGGGAAGGGGGGCATCCAGTTTCTGTGTTGCACCACTGGTCTCACCTGGTTGGATGTGGGCTTGTGCTTGAGTCCCGGTTTGTTCAAGATTAGTTCTAGTTGCCTGCGGTTGAAGTTGGACACTCCCAGGGATTTGCAAAGTCCTGCATCTTTACATTCCTCCAAAGCCTGCAGAATACAAATGTATTTATCAAAAGTCTATTGGCTACAATGAATTAGTACACAGTACTAAACACAGTACCCAAATCCTAGGGATTCCACAAAGGAAAACACAGCCAAGTCTAAGGCTCAATGCACACTGGGCTTAAACAAAAACGTCAGTTCCCTTGGCAGAAGAAAATCTCATATAGAGAATTTTGCACACGTTTAGGAACATTTAGGAGGGTTCAGTGATTACTATACACCTTGTCATGCTCAATGTTTTTAATTGTCTGCATATAAGATATCCCTTGTAGCCCTCCCACCCTTCTAGAAACTGAAGAAACTTTCTAGAAGAGGGGCAGAGGAGGGAAGGAGGCCTAAATTTGCATGTTTAAAGGGAACTTGGCCAATGCCCAGGCAGGAGGACCGGCATGGTGGCTAAGAGCAACCATTAAATGTGAGAGAGCATGTGCAGCAGGAGAGAGCTGTGATCAAGTGGAAGATGGACTAAGGAAGGTTCTGGAGCGTGAAGCCAAGGAGGGGCCCCAGGGAAGGGGGTCTACCTATAGGCTGGAGCAGATAGAAGGATCTCCACTGCCCAACAGTCTCCTAGGTTGGACAACCTGTCATCAGGGAAGGAGCCAGGCCAGCATAAGGCCTGAACACAGCTTCAACCAACTAAGCTGCAAGACAGGACAGTGTGAGCAATTGTACACCCCTTGGCCACAGAAGGGAGAGGGCGGTCAGGTGCAATACCCAACCAGTCCTTATTTGGGCCTGCTTCACAGTGGATTATGGAATCCCTTGTCCAGGGACAACCTTAGGACAGGTGGGTGAATGAGGAGAGCTTCATCTGCGGTCTAAGGAGGTACACCAAAGAGGAATCAGTGCTCCTTAAAGAGACTGTCGCTGATTTTCAATCCACATGCAGCACCCTCCTAGTTAGCCAGGGGGAGCTCTAGTGCAATTTTTAGCTAGGAGGGCTGAGTAGCAGCCTGGGTGTGATAGCTAGCAGGGTCAAATTTAGGTCAGAGCTAGCTCTGACTAGCCTCTAGTTTAGACTAGCTCTCAGACTTCCCCCTGCACTAGAACTTTACAGAAAGTTCTAGAAGCAGTGGGCGGAGGTAAGTAGTGGCTAGTCTGTACACTTACAGGATCCTGGAAAAATCCCCAACAGGATGCTTGGCAAGGGGCCAGGACAGCCTTCAAGAGTAACCGAGTCTGCTCAGCAGCAGAAGAGTTGGAGGAGAGGTTGGGTGGAAGATGAGGAAGTGAGGCTGAAGAGCAGGAACCTGGGAGGAGGCCCAGATGGGAAAGGCGCTCACCTCCAGGCAAGATCCTTGGAAGGAGGAAAGCTTGGAACTTTACCAGGACCCTGAGAGGCGACCACCTGTGTGGCAGGGAAGGAGCAGCCCAGCTAGAAGGCCTGGTAGCAGCCACCAACCCACCAGCAGCACAAGAGAAGGACTAAGTGAATAGACCTGCACCAACTGGGCCAGACAGAGGAAGGAGCACTCTGGTGGGAGAACAGATTAGCAACTGTCCGTCTGCTCTAAAAGTGACACGCACTGGATCCCCTGCTCTGGAATTCACCCAGATCAGCTGGATTAGAAGAATCTAGGGTCTGGGGTGCCACAACCGGAGATGCTGGCTAGCTCTCCAAGATGATTTTGCTGTAAAAACTTATACATAGTTACAGGAAGTTGTCCTTGGTTTCACAGTTCCATTGTGCATCATGTATACCCCTAACTCGATCCCAGTTTAAATCACCTAATAAAACTTAAAAACAAAGCTCAAGAACTGGTTACTGTCTCCTGGATGCAAGTTAACTGCTTTCTGACCACCCTATAGCAGAAGTACTGCTACAGGGTGGCAGGGATGCGCAAAATCACGTATATATATATATATATATATATATATATATATATATATGTGTGTGTGATATTGTATTTCCGGGTAGGGGGCGCGCGCACTCTCTACACATGCCGCTATTGGCTCCTCGGCATGTCAATCACAGAGTCCTGGCTGCCGATTCTCAGACTCGGTGATCGGCGGTGGAGCTGACAGGGGAGAGTTCTGTATGTAAACAACATAGATCTCTCCCCTGTCAGCATGAACAGGCTGCTTTGTATTGCTCTGCACAGCAGAGCAATACAAAGCAGCTTGTCTACATAGTAAAACACAATACAGCACACTATATAAAAACACACACAGCACACTATATAAAAACACGCACAGCACACAAATAACCCTTTGATCGCCCCAGATGTTAACCCCTTCCTGCCCAGTGCATTAGTACAGTGTCAGTAGTTTTTATTAGCACTGATCACTGTATTAGTGTCACTGGGGCTGTCAGTGGCAATCAGTTCCCCCAAGTTTCAGAATGCCCACCACAGTTCCTCAATAAGTCACTGATCACCACCATTATTAGTAAAAGAGAAAAAAAAAAACTCCAGTATATATACCACCATTTGTAGACACTATAACTTTCACATAAACTCGTTAATTTACACGTATTGCGATTTTTTTTTTTAGCAAAGACATGTAGCAGAGTACATTTTGGCCTAAATTTATGCTGAAATTTGATTTTTTTTTTTTACTGGACACGTTTAACCTCCCTGGCGGTATTCCCAAGTGTGGCTCAGGGTGGAATTTCAGTACCATTAGCGGTAACCCCGAGCCACACTCGGGATTGCATCACTGGATCCTGGAAGAGATTAATTACCTTGTCCCCGGGATCCTGCGATGTATTCCCGCAGTGTACGGCAGCCGGATCTTCTGCCCGATGCTCTGTGTGCCCTGGCTTCCGTTCCCTGCGAGCGTCATGATGCAGGAGGGCGGAACCGGTGGCAAATTCAAAAAGTATAATGCACAAACACACTGATACATTGTAATCCTATTGGATTACATTACTAAATAAAATAAATTGACCTTAGTTTGCCCCCCAGTGCTTTCTCCAGTGCCCTTGCCTGCAGTTTTACTGTACTTTGTGTCTGGAAACTGCAGAACGACCATGGCATCAAAAAAGCGTGCCTCCACCTCAAAAGCGGTATATGACCTACTGGAAAACAATGACAGCGATACAGAATCGCTTGCAGAATTGAGTGATAGCGATTCATGGGGAAGTTTGTCATCAGACACAGAAAGCGATTTCAGCGATGATCCTGCGACTGTGCCCTGTGATGTGCGGACTTGGTGCTCGATTGACTGCGGTACGGAGCACGTAGCGCCCCCAAGATTCCCGTTTACTGGAGCACCTGGTATCAAAGTGGATGTTGAGGATGACAACCCCTTGGCATACCTCCAACTCTTTTTGACCAATGAGGTTGTTGAAAAAATTGTTACGGAGACAAATCGGTACCAGGAGCAACAAGCTGCTTGCATCAGAGGTTTTCAAGGAGCAGAAAGTGGGAACCAGTGACCAAAGAGGACATCTGGAAGTTTCTGGGCCTAATAATTCTTCAGGGAGTGGTGGGGAAGTGGTATTGAACAACCAACAAATTACTAGCCACTCCTTCTTTTGGCACGGTCATGTTGGAATACAAATTTTCTCTGATAATGAAATATTTTCACTTTGCAAATAATGAAGAATTTGATGAGACTTCTCATGCACCTCCAAAACTCAAAAAGATTTGGGAGGTTTATCAAATTATTCTGAAAAATTTCCAGCAGACCTAAGTACCAGATAGAGACATTAGTATCGATGAAAGTCTAATGGCCTACAAAGGAAGACTCAGCTGGATACAGTATATGGCGTCAAAGAGAGCACGATTTGGCATAAAATCATTCATGCTATGTGAATCAAGCACTGGTTACATATGGAATTCGGTCCTATACACCGGGAAAGGAACCAAATTAAACAAACGATTCAGTAATTATGGAATGGCAACCGCTTCAGTTCTTACTTTGATTGAGCCAGTGCTGAATCAGAGCTATTGTGTTACCACAGACAATTTTTTACACTTCTCCAGAACTCTATGAGTTCCTTCTACACAACAAGATGGATGCATATGGGACAGTTAGGCCTAACCGGCGTGACATCCCGCCAACCCTTGGCAATAAAAAGCTCAAGGCAGGAGAAATAGTTGCCTGGCAGAAAGGCAAAATGATGGCACTGAGATGGCACGACAAAAAAGATGTGTGCCTAATGAGTACTATTCACAACACCTCTACTGTCATGGTACACACAAAAAGGTGGAAAAGACGTAATGAAACCACAAGTCGTGATGGATTACAACAATACCATGGGAGGTGTGGACAAATCTGACCAGGCCATGACATTTTATCCAGCGATGAGAAAACAACAAAATAAAAATTACAAAAAAAATCTTCAGGCATCTTCTTGAACAGTGTTTGTGGAATGCATTCATTCTGCTAAAAAAAAAAAAAAAAAAAAAAAAAGTGTGACACGCCTGTGGTTCATGCGACTTTGTTTGGAAAGTTGCCGAACTTATATTTTTCAAGCACCAAACACAAACGACTGTAAATAGATCTGGACGTCGTGCTGCTGGCGTTGTGAACCCATAACGCCTGACTGGTCGTCACTTTATGGACCACATTCCACCAACGGAAAAGAAGTCTGTACCCACAAGGATGTGTGTGGTTTGCTGCTCTAAGCGTGACGACACTGGAAGGAAAATCAGAAAAGAACCCCGGTTCTATTGTCCTCATTGTGACGTCGGACTTTGTGCTGTACCACGTTTTAAAATTTTCCATACCCGGGACGTTTACTGAAGCAATATGACTACTAATATTGCATCCTTGTTTGGCCAAAAAAAATGTCAGTGTTTTTGATTATATTATTTACTAAAATTTATTGAATAAAAAGTATTATTATTATATTATTTGTTATTATTTATAGTTATTTATTATATTATAATTTATGATTTTGTGTTTCAAACTTTATCATACCCGAGATGTTATAAAGAAGAACGCACAGTAAAAAAAATCACATGTAAATAGTTGATTTGGGCTGCTCGTTCTTAAGAGTAATCAAAGCACTATGGTGTATGATTGGGAAGGCCCAAAGCATAAATAGAAAGGTTTTTTTTTAATTTTTGTTTTCTTTTTATTTAATAAATGCATTTTTTTACCCGAGATGTCTACTAGACTCTGGTTTGGACAGATTTAAGTGAGAATTACAGGCCTACAATATAAAACGCCAAATTTCCATGCAAAATAATGGTACCGCTTTCAGCACCAAAAATCTGAAATAATCATACCGCCAGGGAGGTTAATAGCAAAAAGTAAAAATTATTGTTTTTTATTTCAAAATTGATGGTCTTTTTTTGTTTATAGCGCAAAAAATAAAAACGCACAGGTGATCAAATGCCACCGAAAGAAAGCTCTATTTGTGGGAAAAAAGACGTAATTGAATTTATGTACAATGTTGCATGACCGCGCAATTGTCAGTTAAAGTAACGCAGCGCCGTATCACAAAAAATTACCTGGTTAGGAAGGGGGGTAAGACCTCTGGAGGGCAAGTGGTTAATGTGGAAGTGCGTGTTGCCTGGCTGTGTAGGACTATAGGGGACCCAAAACTTTAGCAACTCCTAAGGGGGTAAAGCTACACACATTTCGTGCAGTATTTGCCAAGAAGTTGTCCTCAAGGTTTTACAGTTCCTTGGAAATCCCATATACCCCTAGACAACATCCAAGTTGTTAACCCCTAATAAAAACAACAAAAGCAAACACAGGGACAGATTTACTGACTCTGCAGAGCTTACAGGGACCCAGCAAAAATCCAGCGGCCCTCAAGGGGGTAGAGTAACACATATACTGTATTTAAGATTTCACAGCAGACTCATTGCTGAATATGAAAAGACTTGAAAGTCTATATAAAAAAAGGTGGAAAAACAAACTCTCTAGGTAATTCCTACTCATTGCATGCCATATATCAACAAAGGTCAAAATAACCAAACAAAATACTTTCTGCATGTAGGTTTTGTCAATTCATGAATTATTTCCCGAGAATTTTGCCCTGTGTTCACAGAACAATAAATGTGGCCAATTATCTTCAACATGCTGGAAAGGGAACCTTTTGTGTTTTTTTTTCTTTCACCAGCTTGTTCTATTCTGTTCTATTCTGGTAATGACAAGCTCTGTTTATGGTGGGGAGTATGTCCATGTTTTTAATCATCTCCAGAATTTTCCATAGCCTTACCTCCCATGTAGCACAGAGGTCTGTTTCGTGGTAAAGATATTTTCCATTTTCATCCCTTGGGTAGAAGTCATCCCCTGGCTAAAAAAATAAATAAAAAGCAGCATAAGACATTATAGGAAGCCAGAACTTCAGCTCAGGTTAGCTGGTTAAAAAGGTCCTCACTATTGCTCTAAAAAGCCCAGAAGATCCATAGACCTGTATTGATCTACTGTGACAGGTAATTGGGCATTACAACTGAAAGCTGTTCTGAAGACATTATTATTTTTTACAAATTCCATTTGCCTGGCTTTCATGCTGATCCCCTTGCCTCAGTTCATAGTCACATTTGGGTGGGGTTTGCAAAACCTTGTATAAGATTCAACTAAAGCCCCTTTTACACAAGCAGTCTGATTGGGTCCGACTGTCCCTTTTTCAGGCGGACCCAATCAGACTCTCCATTCTCCTCTATGGAGCGGCATGTACAAACAGACTTTTGCCCATTTACACCCACCTACCTCCAAACCAATGAAAACAAAAGGAAGAGGGTCTGTTTCCCATCTGGGCAAATCAGAGGGCAGTTGGGTGTAAAACAAGACAACCAGCCCATTCACATCTGACTGCCCATAGTGCACAGCTGTGGGGAAAAAATAAAAAAAAAATGCAGGAAAAAAGAGAGAGGCTGCAGGAGTGGGAATAAACACAGGTAGAACATGTATCATGTTCCCAAAAGTGAACTTATTAAAGAGCTTTCAAACCCCCATTGGTTCACCTGTAGGTGAATCAGCTGGCAATGTCTTACCAATGTCCAAGAACAGAACAGGATGATGCCATCTCTGGGAGTTTTTGCAGTCAGGCTTTGAGAGGTATGTAAATGGCCTGCCCCTATAGCAAGGGCTTTATTCAACAGTCAAAGTTGCACGGAACGAAGGCCCGGAGTAAGAAGAAAGAAGACCTGAACGAAAGGCCGGCATGACAGGGGTTAAAAGGAGGTTGGGAGAGGCAGAGTTCCATTAGCATAAGGGGGAGTCTAAATAGCTTTAAGAAAGGAGTGGGGGGAACTACGTGGGGTGGCCTTACAAGGTGTGGCAGGGGGTTTTCAGTCTGAAGAGAATTTTCACAAGGCAAACTTCCCTCCCTCCCACCCGCCCGTTGTTTTATGGATTGTCTTGGTGGTGGTTGTGCCATATTGGTGCTGGGGGACTTCCGGCAGGCTGCAAGGTTCTCTTTGGTTAATATGGGCACAAGAAAAGGCACTTTGTAGGAACCCCTCTGAGGTATGGCTTCCAGTTGTTCTGGTGGGGGTATCTGCGGTGGTGTCTCTGAGTCGGTGATGTTGCGGCTGGAGGCCTAGTTAAGCAGGATGCAGGTATTCGTTTTCTTGATGCCTATTGAGACCTTGAAAAAAACGTATGTTTATACTGTGTTTTCTGTTATTTAAAATGTTATTTATTGATGGTTGTAATAAAAGGCGTTTTTTGGGCCATTAACTCCATTTTGTTGTCAGTGTGGTTACTTAGGTTAAAGATGGGGGTAGGCATTGGTTTAGTGGGACTTTTCAAGCCATCTTTAGTCCCCTTGTCATGGTTTTTATCTACAGGCATGCCTCATCTTGCATAGGCAGTTTTCTGGTAAAGGTGAACTAATCCTTTCAGCAACTAGGAGACTAGAGAACTAGGAGAGGACCAGAAACCCATGCACAGCCAATCATGATGAAAGAGAGTGATACCTCTCTGAAATGCATTGATTGACAGCTGCAGGTCTCCATGTGGTGACATATCCCAAATAGAGATGTAAACATTTCCAGAAATTTTGAAGCCATGGGAAAAGAAAAAAAAAAACAAACAAAAAAAAAACTACCACAAAAAACTTTTTATTTTTTGCAGGAAAAAATGGAAAATTAAATTTAGGCAAAATTGAAAAAAAAAAAATAATAATTCAGTGTGGAAGTGTGGAATAGTTTAACAAATTGAAAGTAATTTTGTTACACTGGGAACGTTCAGTGAAATGTATATAAAAGTATTATGCCTGAAATCAAAGTATAGCTTATTCAGTAAATGAACTAAACTTGCTTTTTACATTTTTTTTTTTTACAAAAATGGAATAACGAGGCCAGTATAAGTTAACACTTTGACACCAACAGTACGCAAATATGCAGCCTCTCGGAGGCTGGGCCTATATGCCGGGAGGCCTGGTGTCTTTCTGCAGTCCTTCACTCCTGTATTCCTCCTTCTGGCCGGTCTATCCTGTCTCCTGTCTGCCCAGCCTGTATATCTTGCCTGTTCTCTCCCCGGTCCCCTGCCTCCCTGACAGTCACAGCCAACCAGCTGTATTCCGTTCCTGTAGCTGTCTTAAATTCTCCCAGCACATCTCTATGATTTCTATGTAGCTGAACGTCTCACTCCTCTCCCCCAAACTGATCCCCTTCTGTTCACCGCTACAAACCTCTCTTTCCTTATACAACTTTGCCTCTCCCCCCCCCTTCCCTCCAACTGTCATCACCCGTTCCCTCTGCATAATCTTTAGGACTTATGCACACCATTTGTGGTGCAGAAACGAATGGAAGAGCATGCATTTTCCTGCACAGCAAGGAAACACAATGCCCTCTGTAGATGTGCGCAGGTACCATGTTGAATACTTAATTGCACCTCCATGCATCTAGTAAACGCAGATGCATTCACAGCCAGCAAAGCGCATGCTACCACAGTACTGTGTGGGTAGCTGTAAGGATGAAAAAAGTTGTCAAAAATGCCACATTCACACAGGTCCTCTGGCCTTTACAGCATGAATGAGGGGGTTGTTAATGTGGCTGGAGCCACCTGTTATGCTATGGGGGACACAGCAGCTGTGTGAACACAGGTTTTAATCTGACAGGTGTGCAGGTGTGGGGGAGTGGCCCTGAATGCTCACTGTCTGTGCTCAGGGCTGTACACCTGCACCCATATGCCTGTCAAATTTGGACCTGCAACGCTTCCATAGTGTAATATAGGTTGCCTGCAAACAGCTACAAGCTGCTCCAGCCACATAAACAAACCACTGATTCACACTCTACAGCGCCCATTTGAATGAGCCCCAAGACCTCAATTACTCACAGAGCTTTATTTATTAACTCAGTACAGTTTTATAATTTAGATTTTACAAGAATTTTGTGATTGTGTACATTAATAACGTTTTTAGTGTATTTTAACCATAAATATAATTTTGATATTTTCTCTGGCGGTGGAAGGGAGGGGGGGGGACCCTGTCAGGTAGGCTGTACGGGGCCCCATCATATCTAACAGCAGTCCCTGGACAGGGGTTCTGCATCCTCCTAGAGCAGAAAACTCCTCCTACAAGCTTTACCAGTGCTCTGCTGGACACTGATAGAAGTCACAAGACTGCTTTAACTGCTGATGAGAAAATGTATTTAGCAGTTTATATTTACTAAAATAATTGCATTTCCATGTACTGTGTATTTTTTTTGAGGCAGTGGTTTGTAACACTTCCTTACTTGAAGATGCTGCTGGTGAAGAAACACCTTGTGATGATCCAGAAGCAGCAGAGAGTGTTTCTGGAATGAGAACTGTTAGAAATTCTGTACAGCCCTACAGAACAGACAATGCACAGTCCACATGTGCTTTTCTGCTACACTGCAACAAGGAAACAGGAAACATTGTTTTGGAGAAAAGACAGCATACAGTACCATAGATGCAGCTACAAATTTATGAACACTGCCATCTACTGGCTGAAGATTAAATCTCTACTGAATACTAATGTAGTCGCTACATAAAATACATGAACATTGTATTCCAACAAGAATTCTGGAGAGGGAAGCTACTTGCATTTTCATTATGGTCATTTCATAAAAGTATTTTTTATGTCTTTAGGGCACCTCTGGCGTGCAAGGATGTGTTTTGTCATCCTTGTAGCATTTGAAAAATAATATTTCTTCTCACAATATTTACACATTGCAGCTTTGCTCTCAGCAGAAATTGCACTGTGGAAAGGTTTCCAAACGCTAGATGTTGGTTTCACCAATTTACTGAGAGGAGGAAAGAAAAAACAATTTTCTGACCAAACTATAGATAAACCCTATGCTGTGATTATGGAGAACATTAATAGGAATCATCTAAAAAGTTATAAAGATAAATGTGTCAAACAAATTTACCCTCCTAACTGCCAATTAAAACCTGAGAGGCCATCTACTGTATCCCAACAAATCACACAACTGCAGGAGGATGGAGCCCACAAGCAAACTAAACTGGAGCCTTGCAGTGCCCCTAGTGGCAGAAATGCATATTTCTCTTGTTTGAGAACTGCACTGAAGTACAGTGTTACTTGAATGTTATTTCAGGATTTGCCTTGCAATAATTTAAGATTTTACATAAAGTCTCAAAAATCTTTCATTAAGGTCTTCATGTTATATGGTTTGAATACCATGTCATATATATTACTTATTGCAAAAGAACAAATTCCACACTTCTTTTTTTTCCCAATTTTTCCAGAAAAAAAACAAAAACAGCTTTGATAAAAAAGAAACAAAACACGTGTTTTTCCAATTTTATAAGGCCTTTCCATCTCTAATCCTGATCCATGAGCTAGCTGGTAGCAAGCAACAGTTTTACCAACAAACAGACTTGATGTAAACTCTGCAATTTAGTTCCGATCCGACTAGTGGACATAGAAAATAATAATTTTTCATTTTGTAACAACATAACAAGCTCTTCCATTTTGACAGGCAACTAATCCTTGTGAATACATGGTGTATTTTTATCTTCCTGTGAACATACTGTTCTTTCCTGGTAAGAGCAGCTGTCCCATTTGTTTTAGATTAGAAATACAAATCCATTTGTTTTAGATTAGAAATACAAATCCTTTGGCAGATAAGACGTTAGCTATTTGTATCAGCTAAGTGCCCATAGTGGTTTGTATCTATAACAGAGCACAGAAAGTTGAACTCCAAACAAATGTCATAAGGGATTGTACCTTAAAGGCCATTGGCAATTCGATAATATATAAATCTACATATTCCAATCCCAAGATCTCCAGGGTCTTCTCTAAAGTTGGCCGGACACGTTCTGGTGGGTGACATGTATTCCACAACTGAAAAAAAAAATTTGAAAAAAAGACAGTGTTTTTTTAGGAATTTCTGCATGGAGTTTGAGTGCAACTTCTCACTCAACGTCAGCAAATGGCTTACAGTTTATGGGCCTGGAAACCTGTATTTTCACCTGAGCAACTGGTGTTCCCAGATCAACTGTGTAAAGTGTTGTGTACATTTTCGGCACTGTATGCATGCCTATAATAAAGGGAATGGGTTGACTGGTCTTCTATTGGGCAGATTGAATCTGTACGCACCCCAAGGCTACATTTTTCATTTTAAGGCCTTATGCACACTGAACGTTTTCAACATAGCTGTTGAGGCATCTGGTGTTTTTTGGGGTTTTTTTTTTTGTACATATGCACATAGGCGTTTAGAGGCATGTAGAAGCATGTCCAGGAGCAGCAGCATTTTGGCAGGAAAAAAAAAAAAAACAAAACGCTTGAAACGCCTAAACGTGTCAAACTTGCACATTTAGCACTTGATCATTCAATCAGTTCACTGGCTGGAATAAATAATTTATTCTGGCCATTGAAATTAATTACTGCCCAAGCACTTAATGCACCTAAACATGCTTACAAGAGTCAAACATTTTTTTTTGCCATAAACGCTGCTGCCAGGAGGATGAGAGGAGAGATGGGCAAATGTCCTGTGTGCAGGAGTGTAAATCTGAGGCCCAATTCCAACCCAAACTTTTTATTTTACTCCCCATTTTGTTTTTTAAATTCAGATTCTATTTTAAAGTTTTCATAATAAGTGAAAAGAAAACAAATTTAAAACATAAAAAAAAAAAAAAAAAAAGAATCATCAGCAATTTAACAAACAATACAAAAACAACATGTTACAATTGATTCATTATCATCTAACTTACCAAAAATATTGAAAAGGATTTTCCCAGAAATTCAAGAATTCAAAAATATTCCAGAGCAACCAATATATTATACTATATAATATATAAATAACAATCTTTTCTTAAGACAGGCCGCTCCATTCATATAAAAAAAAAAAAAAAAGAAAAAGAAAAAAAAAAAGAGAAGGGGGGGATACCACATAACAGAGAAAAGGAAAAAGAAGAGAGCAAAAGTTCCCACTTCTTGTTATAAGTTTAAATTAGAACCTGGTGTATCTATCCATTCTTACACTTATGATCAACATAAGTTTGAAAAAAATATGCATCTTTTAAACATTATGTATTTGTCCATTTCCCGCATCCAGTCCCCAAAGGTAGGAGGATTAGGAGAAACCCAGTTTACAAGCCATAAACAGCAATTTTGCAATTGCCTCTGCCTGATCATTTTCCAAATCATTAGAATTTATATACCCAAATGTGACATAAGACTTTTTTTTTTTTTCATTTTGGATAGCGTGGGGATGCATTAAAGCCTCTGTCAATATTTTACTGCCATCTGTGTCCCTTTTGGGGAGATTCACTACACTTAGAAGTGTGTGGACATATATCAGTCCAGGAAGTGGAAAGTCACTCTGGATGATCCCTAAACAACAATGGTGCTATCCTCCTGGAGAGAAAAGCAGACAAAAGGCATTTCCAGGGAGACTGAAATCTATTTGTTAAGGTAATAAATACCTGGAACTGTTATATTTACACATTACTCACAATGCATAAAGTTGACCTGAAAAAAAAATATGACTAATACTATGTCTACTAGAATATATAATAGTGTTCCTTTAAATCCTCTAAGGTCCTGTTAATTGAAGGGTATAATATTATGTCAGTGGGATTGGAACAAAACTGAGTTTTTGGAAAGAACATTATATATAAGCTTCACAGTTATTCCTGTTTGTGGACAGAAGCCACGGAACAGGGCCAGGAGAAATCTGGTGGGTCCCAATGTTCCTGGAAGTGTAGAAGAACCTGCCATAGACTGGAAGGACCAGCCAGGAAAGAACTGACATACTCTGTGTACATTTGAAACAAGCTGAGACACAACTATCTACTGACGCTAGAAGTTCTATGGAGAATATTAGATTACCCGTCCATTCCCTGGAACATCTTAAGCTTCCAAAATACCAGAAGTCCTTCCTGAATGAAAGAGAAGTTTCTCTCAGCCAAGAACAAATTTATTTTAGTATTTTGGGATACTATTGAGTTGGATGGAGAGAAAATCTCCCCTTTGTTACACGGAATTGTAAATAAGGAAAAAGCTACAAAGTAGCTGTACATGGAGTACATTGACATTGGCCCAAGGGAGCTCCAAGTAATTCCTTAAAGTGGACCTGTCATGATACATTTTTTTTCATGTCACAAGCTTATATGTTAAGTAACATGTAAGTAACACACCCAGGTATTTATTACCTCTTACAGAGATCACACTACTCCCCCTGACAATTTTCTCTCCAGAAGAATGGAGCCATCTTTGTTCAGCCATCATCCAGGATTTACTATCTACTTGCTGTATGGAGATGTAAATCCTATTACCTGTGCAGTTATAGGTTGCGTTCACAGACATCTCACACAGATCAGCCATTGCTGCAGCCTCTCAGGTTGTAACTTGTTACAGAGCCACAATATTGCAGTCTGATCACTGGGGAAGAGGAGACTGAGGAAATGCTTCCTCCTGCCTGTAGCAAACTGATTACATCATCTCTGCCTAGGCAAAAATCAGTAACCAGTTTAAAGATGGAAAACATTTAAGAGCTGCATGTGGCAGCTCCTCCCCTGAATGTATCTTAGCTGTGATTGTTGGGGCAAGGTACAGACACAACATGGCTCCCACTGAATACAAATGATCTTGAAGGAGGGTGGGTACAGACAAGAATTAATTCTGGGTGTCTGCTAAAGAGATCCCTGGCATACAAGTAACCACATCCTGCATCAATAGATCTTACAGATAGGTCTACATATTTCTCTAATTAGAAACCACAGGGAGTAGTAGGACCAAAGAGGTTGTATGCACAGCCAGGCAATGGCGGGGAAGGTGGGAGGGGAAATACTTCTGTAGCCCTACCCCCTCAGGAGTCGCTAGAGATTTCGGTCTCCCTATAGTCCTGCATAGCCAGGCAACACATATTCCTCAAAGACTTGCATCCAGGAGACAGTAACCAGTCCTTAAGCTTGTTTTTTTTAAATTTTATTAAGGGGTTTAGAACTTGGATGCGATAAAGAGGTGTATGGGATGCACAATCGAACTGCAATGGAGGGCAAGTTGCTGGAACTACGTACAAGTCTTTACACAGCAAAATTCTCTTCTTGGGGAGCTCTCCAACCTCCCCTGGTGTACCACCCCAGACCCAAAATAATCATCCTCTATCCAGCTGTCTGAAGGAATCCATGGGCAGGGGATCCAGTGTCTGACACTTTAAGGTGAGCAGTCCCAAGCAAGGAGCAAATCTAATTTCCCACCAGAGTGCTTCTTCTCCCTTAACTGACCCAGCGGGTGTAGGATTACTCACTAAGTCCTGTTTCTTCTGTGAGTTGGTAGCTGCTTTCAGGCCTTCTGTTGGGCTGTCTCCTTGCCTGCTGCACAGGTAGTCCCATCTCCGGGGGCCAATGAGGTCTGAGCTTTCCTACTCTCCTGCACCACTGCCTAGAGGTGAGCCCCTTCCCAACTGGGCCCTCTCTCAGGCTCCTGCACCTTAGCCTTCTCATTCCATCTTCCACCCAAAATCTCCTGCTGTTGATAAGGCTCTGTAACATTTAAGGGCTTCCCTGGCCCCATACCAAGCCTCCTGCGTGTGGATTGGTCAGGGTCCCCCAAGTGTGCAGGCCAGCCCCTCCTCAGCCCCACCCACTGTTTCTAGAATCTTCTTCAAGATTCTAGAGCAGGGGAGGTATCAGGGAACTGGCCTGCAGAGTCTCTCAGCCCTGACCTGAATTTAACCCTGCTAACTATTACACCCAGGCTGCTACTCAGCCTTCCTGACTAAAAAAATTAACTGTAGTTAACCCTAACTATCTAGAGGGGCAATACACTTCTACTGGAACATTTGGTCAAGGGGCATGGATGTTCCTATAAAGGAGCTGTTAAAAACAATGTAAACCCAACATTTAGAATTCCTGATATGTGCCTGCTGTACCATATACTTGTATGAACATGTATCCTGTTATTTTGTATTGCTTCCTTTGTGTGAAAACCCTGATATTCCAGCCAGTCCCTCTGCTTTCTTATTAAAAACCGAAACCACACTACTCTGGAGAGCACAGCATAGTCAGTTCATTCACTGGGAAGACCAGTGTGCTGTTGTTTCTCTTCCCCTAACTCTCAAAGTGAGTACAGAGGTTGTGAAATGTTTTTTTTCTGTATACTGGGTGGGTTGTTTTACAAGTTGAGGGTTAACATATAATTTTTCTCTGCTTTGGGTGAAAAGAAGTAGACTTGATCTCCTGCCAATACTCACAAAGAAAGATGTCCCTCACCCCAGACACACTAGTGACAGCTGAGCTTGGCCATTTGGTTGCAATAGTCAACAGCCAAAGAGCTATCCATACACAATTATGAGAAGATATACAATCAAAGCATTGCTCTCTATGAATAAATATAAAACATAAAAGTTCATACATATTGAGTAGTGTTGCACTGATACCGATACTAGGGTGCCAATACTAAGTATTCGCACGAGTACCTGCATTCATGCAAATGCTTCATTACTAAAACCGATATTTTTTTGCGATTTCATTGCTACTTGCATTGACTTCTATTAAATAAAGTTGCTAGCCACAATGAAATTGGAGGTTCAAATCACACTGATCTGTGGCTTTGTAATCATGCTGAAGTAGTGAAATTTAAAAGTGGCACTGTGCAGCTTTGAAATCAGATCAGTGCTTTGAAAATGCGCTACGTCAGTGCTATTTCAGCCCTGGTTCACACTACTGCGACTTCAGATGCGACATGTGATTTACAAATCGCACCTGAAGTAGCAGCTAATGTATTTCTATTGTCTTAATAGGTGCGATTGCAAGCAGCACAATTTGAAAAATAGTTCCTGCATTACTTTTTTACCACTTCAGTGACATTTAACTCCCATAGACTATAAGGTAAATGACACTGAACTTGCATCTGTGTCTATATGACCGCTACTGTTAAGTTTTAAATGGGACCAAATTACACCACTTTGAAAATCGCATTTGGTGGGAACCAGAGCTGAAAGCCATAAATCCGCTCTGCTTTCATTGCGGGTTGCAACTTCATTTAACAGAAGTCAATGCAAATGAAATCCCAAATGGTGTGCGACTTGTCATGTAATTTTGAAGTGTCAAATTGCATGATAAATTGCACGGATGTGAATCTTAAAAAATAAATTAATCCAATGGCAAAATAGGTATCAGTAATTGGTAATGGCAAGTACTTGAGAAAAGTATCGGTACTCGTATTCAGTCTTAAAAAAACTGGTAACAGTGCATCCCTAATATTGAGTGTCCAGGAAAAAAATTTCTGCATTAAACTTCAACCAATAGTGCAGTCTATGGTGAGATTTTTGCAATATTCTTCCAAGGAGTTTAATGTATAAATCACAGTGCCATGCTCTCCCTTTATACATGTAGACATTACATATACAGTGGGGCAAAAAAGTATTTAGTCAGCCACCAATTGTGCAAGTTCTCCCACTTAAAAAGATGAGAGAGGCCTGCAATTGGCATCATAGGTAGACCTCAACTATGGGAGACAAAATGAGAAAAAAAATCCAGACAATCACATTGAGTAAATTACCGCTGCTTTGTTTGCAGTTCCTCCGATTCTCCAACTCTGGGCTGGAGAATCTGGAGGGAGAACACAGATCACCAGTGAAGTGCAGACATTGCTCCTTCATACACTTGCAGTCTGTGTGCGGAGATGATAAGTGGAGAATATGTTCTCCTCTGATCATCTCTGTTTCCTAAACCACTAATGATCTGAGATCAGCAACAATGCTCAGGATCGCCGCTGATCTCAGTTTCATAAAAGGACACCATAATGTCTAGTGCACATACACTGCAGATATCTTGGCATTGCTAGCACCTGTGATCCTCCTTATCGATCGCTCCTCCACTGTGATAACAGGTGTAGTCTCACATGAGAAAGGAATGGCAAGAGGGGCCCACATAGCACAATTAAATTTTTTATTGTAGCTAAAAGAACTCAAGGAAATAGGTTGTACTCACATACAATCAAATAGAAAATGCCCAAAATGCTGATTCGGAAGTGACGTCACTGGTAGTCTCCTGCCAACGCGTTTCGCCCCTCTGAAGACGCCAAGTTGGAGGGGCAAAAAGCATTAGTCAGAGACTATTGGTGATGTCACATCTGGCCATTGTAATTCACAGTGGTGCGTCACTGTTTGGCGTTTTGTATCTTCTCTGTATATCTTCTGTGCCACTGCATAAGCTAAACTATGCACTCTAAAGGTGTTGCACATTACATGTAACAAAGCTGGCAAATTACTTCTTTGTCAAGCCATAATACTATTGGGATGGTGGCATGCAGGTCTTTTTCAAGCCACAATTCTATCCTATTTGGCTGACCCCCTACTAGTGATTATTCTCTTGAATTACCCACTTGGATAAGTCAGCTATAACTTTTCGGATGCTGAGACTACAACACAGATGGTCTTACTGAACATTGCACTCACTTTCCCACAGTAAAAGATATCTTCTCTCTTAACCTTGCCCTCGGAGATCTTCTCACGGATAGCTTGCCCCACCTCATGCTCGTTATAATAAACAAAGGCCCCGTCAATATGCCGGTATCCAATATCTATAGCCAACTTAACCGATTCCAAACAGGTTCCTTTTGGGGTCTAAAAGAGAAAAAAAGGAGGAGATTTGTCAAAGATGTAAGTACATACGACAGGGTCCTATACCAGAAGTGGCAGGTAGAACCTATTCAAAGCGACACCAGCCAAACTTTGCATCAACCTGAGAATTCGGACGATTTACTGAATTAATCTTTTTTGGTTGATGTACTGCATGCTTTGACAAAATAAGTAACAAAAAAAAAATTGTATATCCTTGTAAAATATGCACATTTCCCTATGTTTCCTCTATGTGGGTAGCACACTGGCTAAGTGGTTAGCACTTCTACTTGGTGGCACTAGGGTCGTCAGTTTGAATCTCATCCTTGGCACTACCTGCATGGAGTTTGCATGTTCTCCCTGCGCATGCATACGTTTTCTCCCACACTCCAAAGACATGCTGGTAGGTTATTTGGTTCCTATCTAAATTTGCCCTAATATGTGTATTAATGTGAGTAAGGTGCCTTAGAGTCTGTAAGCTCCTTGAGGGCAGAGACTGATGTGAATGTACAATATATATGTAAAGTTCAGCATAAATTGGCAGTGCTATACAAGTACCTCTAATATTATTATAAATGCTGCAAATCCAGAAACATACTAAATTGAACTGTGTTTTGTAGTTACATCATTGTGTTGAAAAGGGACCCATCTATTGGGCATTCAGTGCAATTGCACCCTTTTTGTATTTTTATCAATAACAAGTGTTCCATGTTTGTTAAAAATAAAGATTTACCATTCACAACTGCACTTCCAGTTTAGCTTCCAGAAGAACACACCAGTGAAGGCCTCCTTTCTCCCTTTGATACACATATGCTAGCAAGTTCGGTCATTGTATTTGTTAAAGTCACATATATATCTAGATCACATTTAAATGTATTCAGTGTGATTTGTATGTAGCGCTTTGCAAGAAATATGTTCATTGTAGGCATTTGTGAGAGACATGTTAACAAACATATTGTAACTTCAGTGTATGTAACTGTATTGCAGTTTAACAGAACTATTCACAGAAGTAAATTCAGTTTTGGAATGAAAAAATGCTGCTTCTGTCAGTTTTGCTAGCTAGCTGCCAGGTAACCATTAGTAGGACAGCATAATATGCTTATATCCAGTTGACTCCAAAGTTCCTGACAATCCAGTGCCTCTGCTGAACACAACCCCCACTTTCCTATGATATGGAGCTGAGCAGAGAGAGGAGTTATGTATTTCAGCAGGTGGGGCAGAAAACACTGTGACAGACGCAAGATCGCTGCCACCAATATGTGACGATCCCACGATCGCTGTCACCAATATGTGATGAACGCGGTGTCAGACCCCAGCCCTTCTCACCAAACTCGTGACCGAAGGACTAGCCAATCTAAAACCGCGATGTCACGTGCGTAACAATGCCACACCCAGCTGCACTCTGCACAACGATTTTCCAGCTAATTGGACCACAATCTATGTACCGGCAGCCTGAGCAATTGTTACTGGGTCAGGTTAATTACGCAACTAACCCTTCACACTGCCACCACCTCCTTTTTGTACAGAGAAAGAGGAAACTCGGCAATATTAGCAATAACACTATGATGTTTGAATAATCGTCCGTATACCACTGTCACCGCAGGCAGGGATATATAGAGGTTTAAACACACACACAGTAGCGCTCTTCAGAGGCAGGGATTCTTAGTTTGCATTAAAGAGCTTTAGAAACAGTTCAACACTTTCAGAAAGTAAGATTTATTACTAAATAAAAATATTTACAGAAAAGATGTAGCCAATATATATATATATATATACACATATACAGCAAACAATAGCACAGCAAAGAGATAACAGAAAGAAGTTCAGAGGGATAAAGTACTTGCCAAACGGCCTGGTTTAAGCAGATCAGGTTTCAGAGCCAAAAGGATGCTTTTATCTCCCAAAGTTAGTTCCAATGTTAAAAGGGAGAATTCTTCAACTTAGCTCAACTCAGCTTAACTTACCTTCAAGCATCACAGCCTTTATCTAGGAACTCAGCAGGGTATCTCCCTGAAGCAGAGAACCAATTGCCTCATTTGGGCGGGTGTGGCAGGCTGACCAAAAATCCCTCTTAGCTTATATTATGGTTCATAACTTACCCTGGATACATATAACATTCTATCCACGAGTAGATTAATACGCAGAATCTTCTACTGATCGTCTACATAGGAAATATAAGATACCTGCTGGGATGGTTAAGGAGATATTATTTTTTACTCTCCTGTTGATCTCAGCTAGGGGATGTAATATACCAAACAATTTGTATTAAAGTGAGCCGTCCGAATATGTGCTCCATGTTTATGTAGTTATGTCCTATTTGAAGACATAACATTATATGGAAAAGTAAGTTTTTAAATGTATGTCTGTTTTTACGACTACCTGGAATGTCTTTGAGGCTCCGTGAGGGCTTGGTTTATAGTTTTACAATCCCTTCTCCAGCAAGAGTCTCGCAGACATAGGGGCACCAGCTAGTGAGGTTTATAGCCATGACGCCCTCCCAATGAGTTTGCTGCCTGTGATCTCTGTCATCAAACAGACCACATGTCACTCAACAGAGAGGGAGGGGGGATATCGGAGGAATCATATTTGGGAAAGAGAGATACAAAACGAAGGGGTTTGGAGCAAAATGGATGACCGCGTCCATCTCTGTGTGCATGATTGCTACAGAGCCCCCCGGATGCCCAGACTACATGGGAACCAGTGGCAAGATAGTTTGGGACTTGTTGTCACCCTTTGTCCATATGGGGTACCACGTATACGTGGGCGATTTTTATACAAGTGTGCCACTATTAAACATTTGTACAATTTTGGAACTGGCGCATGTGGCACCGTGAGACCTAATTGCCGGAGTTTCCCCCAACGGCTTGTAAATACCTGACTTAGGAAGGAAGAGAAAGCCTGCTTGAAAAATGATGAATTGCTCACAGTGAAATGGAAGGACAAACAGGATGTTTTCGTCCTGTCTTCCATCCACGCAGACACGACCATCCAAATTTCCATGGCAGCTGGTGTTAAGAAGCCCCTCTGTGTCCACGACTATAACCTTAGCGTGGGAGGGGTGGACTTCAACGACCAGATGATGAAGCCATACTTAGTTTCCCGTAAAGCAAGACACTGGTCCAAAAAAGCGTCTGTATATTTATTACAATTGGCTCTGTACAATGCTTTTGTGCTTTACAAAGCAACTGGACAAAGTGGATCCTTCCTAAAATTTCAGGAAGAGATCACCACGTCCCTTTTGTATCCAGAAGGTGCTGTGGCCTAAACCTCCAAGCCAGATGCAGTGAGCCAGCTGCATGAAAGTCATTTTATTGATGCCATTTGGTACCCCAACCCAAAAAGTCACCCCAAAAAAATGACATGTCATGGAGCAGACATGGAATTAGGCGCGACACCTGCACCTGCTTTTTTTGTCCTTCCTGTCCTGGCCAACCTGGTCTCTGCCTCAAGGACTGATTCCATCACTACCACACGATAGTGGAGTGTTAGTATAGGGTAAAGCACGGCACAGTCTAGGGTACATATATACACAGGGTCTTGAAAGATGTTCGGTAGTCAGGAAATTGGCTATCGCATTTTGAGAGACCCTACAATTCTGGAAAGTTTACAGTTTAAAAAAAAGTTTACAAAAAAGGTGAAAATTTTAAATAAATAAATAAAAATAAATAAAAAAACAAAACAAAAAGAGTGGTGGGTGGCTTGCTCCTATGCGTTGGCATATGTTTTTTTAATTTTTTTTTTTGGCAGATATTTCTTCATCCACATTGATTGATGTGAATAGAGGAATATATTAGGTCTTTTTTTTTTTTTCTTGTTCAGCCCATAAAAAAAAAAACTGAACATTTCATGTGTGCCCAACATTAGAAGTGGGTGGATGCAGGGTGGTATATTCTAATGGTGGGCATACTACATAGTTTGTCTGGTAGAGATTTCTTCTCTTTTTACACAGGCTGCACAGAAAAAAAAACTGTAGCTTAGGGGTCATTTTGGGGGTGTTTGTACTGCCCTGGCATTTTTAGCACCGCAAGAAATGTGACAGGCAGTCAGAAAGTAAAAGCTTGGTAAATTCCAGCATCTATACCATAGTTTATAGACGCTATAACTTTCACATAAACCAATTAATATACACTTATTGGGATTTTGTTTTCACCAGAGACATACAGCATAATATATTTCGGCCTAAATTTATGATGCAATTTATTGGATATTGTTTTCTTAGAAAATATTGGGTTTATTTCAAAATTGTGGGTCTTTTTTTGTTTATAGTGAAAAAAAATTAAAAACCCAAAAAGTTGATCAAATACCACCAAAAGAAAGCTCTATGCGTGTAAAAAAAGGACATAAATTTTGTTTGGGTACGGCATTACATGACCGTAAAGCTACCAATTGAATTAGCACAGTGTCAAATAGTAAAAAACGGCCAGGTCAGGAAGGGGGTAAATCTTTTGTTTGCACACCCAAAAAAAAGTATTTTTCCTAAATAATTCATCAAAGACCATGTTGAATGAATACACCCCAATGAAAGTCTTGGAAGCAAAGCTAAATTTTAGAAAACAAAATCCTAATTAACAAGAATTCAACTACAAGTGAGTCTAAAGGTGTCCAGCAGACTGTTAAGTAACGCCCTTTTATAATCGACTAAGAAAATCCCTACCCTTTTATGCTGTCAGCAATGGTACCACATGGAAAGAGAAATGTCACAAGGCCTGAGAAAGAAAATAATTTCTTTACACAAGAAAGGTGAAGGCTATAAGAGGATCAGCAAAACTTTACTTATCAGTCAGAATGCTGTAGCAAAAGTTATAGAAAAATTTAACAAAGATGGAACTGCAACCATTTCGCAGACATCCAGGCTGTCCACGGAAGTTAACACCTCAATTGGAGCTTCTTCTAATGAGAAGGGTTGAAGAAAATTGCCATTCAAGTTCACTTCAGTTAGCTAAAGAAGTAAAACCCCAAACTGGGCTGATTGTTTCCCATGACACAATACGGCGTACACTGCAGAGGAATGGCATGCATGGGTGTCGTCCACAATGGAAG